AGGAGGAGTAGAGGGGTGGGTCGAGGGCGGGCGGGAGGGGTGACATGGAGCGGATACGTCTTTCAAAGGGAGGGACGGTCCCGGGGTCGTCCGGGATCCGTGCGGACACGCATCGCACGGGCCACCTGGACACATATTTCAGATCAAGAGATGGTGAACGACTCGTAGAAGGTGTGAATGCAATACGTAGGTGGGGTTAGTGAGCGACCGTAACGTGTAGCGCGAAATGACGGCCCACACATTTGTGTTTCACCCACGCTGCTTTAAAACAATGTACCTCCGGTGAGCTGGCTGAGTCCAGTCAAGGGCCGAGACATTTGATAGCAGTGTTGTCTGATTAACCTAATTATTCTCTTTTATGTGAGATACGAGGTGATAGTAATCACGGGCTGCAGGTCCACCTTATGTCGGAGCATTGATGAAGCACGGTCTCGTACACCGATGACGTCAGTGTATGGAAACCGCCCGCTTGTGTGTTGACATATTGTGTATTCATGTATGTGCTGTCACTGACATAAATACAGCGACCAGAAGACTACTGTTCTTTAATAACCGGCCGAGGCTGTCTGCGATGAAAACAGTGTTCTGTTTGGTAGCATGACTGACAATGCGAACAGACCATCACACACGAAGAACGCATCAACTATGGCACGGCACAGCTTTAAGCACTTAGCCAAAGAAGGGGGCCACGGGGGAGGTCATGGCACTATGCCATTATGCAAACACTAGGTGTTTAACGGTTTCGCAGGAATCTGATCTGAATTCACGGGAGTTCGAAAACGATTGTACACCGTACGCCCCAAAGGAGGGCTGCGACGCCTCGCCTGCGTGGCCCAGAACAGGCGGCGCACCTAGAGCGGGCTATTGACGGCGGTAACGGCAGTGCACAGCTGTGATAAATATGGAGAGACAGGAGTGAGTCCGCCCGATTCCGCTAATTTCTGAGATCGGTGTGGATGCAAAAAGATAGAGGTCGGGACGGGAGATGTGATCTATCTAAGCCGGGCGCTCCCATTTAGCGACCGAACTCCCCCATGGAGGAACACGGCATCTCGGCGCGAGATTTGCAATGTGGCCCAATCATGTCTGATGTTTGAGGCAATGAAGACGATTGTTCAGGCAACGCCAGCCGGCGGGCACCGCCTGGATGGCGATATTTGCCGCATGCGCTGACACGCACCACATGCACTGAGTCGAGCAAATCTGCTGTAGTAGCCGAAAGCAGGGGCTGTGTTTCCCCTGGCATGCGATGTTCAGGCACAGGCGAGATGCCCGAAGTTTACTTGTGTAATTTAAGTTACTCAAATACCATCGCTGCGTATAACAGTTTTTAGTGCCCGTCAGTCGCTTAAATCATCCTGTTAACGGTAGGGTGCAGTAAAACGCATTGCTCATGTAATGTTATTCTTGTTTGATTCGGGGAAAATCATAATGCGATTCGTCCTCAGGAGAAATGGACTTTAAATGGAACGCTACCGCATTTCAAGACATTGAAGCAAGAGTCAGATATGATAAAATAAGCTCACTTGTATCTGGCGGTATACTTGTGCAAAAGGCTGGTCCAGATAACACAATTTCTCTGTTTAGTAAATATGATCCCCAATACATAATTGTTTTATTACGTCATCATACTGGGCAGAGCATTAAGAGCTGATTGACGGCCGTCATATCTTGAAATCGTGCTCGCGAATGCCAGGTGTGAACGACTCGACAATTAATATACTTTTTGACCTTGGTCACCGCATGGCCAATGAAATAGCAGGATTTGAATGACGTTATAATGGCGTCACGGATGCCTCGGTGAGGTTGGAACAGTATCCCCGCAAATTTATCCCCGCAAAATTTGGGCTTCTTCGCGGGTGCGTAGCTCGGAAACTAGAAGGGTTAGGTCTTAAGAAGGGCAGAGCTGTAAAGCGCGCAGGATCATCTTCAAGATGGTTATTCCAGTTTCCAGCCCCATACAGATGTGGAGCACTGCCTTTAAAGGGTATCGAAACGCTACTTTAAGCTCAGGTCCGCCGCCGCACCGAAGTGCCTCCTGTCTGTCACTTTCAATGGGCGACTCCGGCTGCGCCGGGCTGCGCCGGGCGGCGGAGGCGGCGGCGGCCAGGGCGCCGCTCCCGGACCCCGGCCCGGGCAGCGGGGCGGCGGCGAGAGAGCGGCGCCGCCGCGAAAGCCGGACCTGTCCGCCGGCCGGACCGACCCGGCCGGCTCCGACCCGGACGGGAAAGCCTCGTCGCGCACGCGCCCGCGCCCGGAGAAAGCCGCGCCCCGGCTGCCGCGGCCGGCCCAGGCTGTGCTGCGCGGCCGCCGCTGCACCCGAGTCGGCTCCGGCCTCCGGCTCGACAGCTGTACAAGCCATGTGTGCGGTTGATCCAGACACGTCTGGTGGTGCCGAACAGTTATAAATCAGCTCAGACTCGGGTGTATGCTTTCCGAAGACCGTTGCTTGAAAAATCGCTTGTTCGATCGGCTACGTCTGGCATGAAATAAAGCGTGATTTGTGAACTCACCATAATGTTATCCAGGGCTCATAAAATGCATTGATGTGTGCATTTTTTTCGGCAGAACAGGACCGGTGCTGCAGGTGGTTGTCAGTTACGGCGCTGCGGCAGGAAGCACTGGATTACAGTGTGCCGCGGCTTTAGGATCGAGGGCGGGCGGTTGCCTGCAGTTTGCGAAGATCCGTTCTGCACACTTTCCGCACCTCCGGCAGCCGCTCTGCTCAGTGGTTCTGCCTTTCACGAGCCGGCGAGACTCTGACTTCTTCTTTCGACGTGACCTCCTGTGCGTGCTGACTTCGCATGGCAACTCAGAACCCAGCCCCCCCCCCCTCCCTCAGTTCTTACCCAGCCGACAGGAGGTGCGGCCGGCAGCATCTGTGATCTATCGGAGGTCACCACGCATGTCCCGTGCTGGCCATTGTCACTGCAACTGTGGGCAGGGTATCCGGTCCCGGAAACTGAGACGAGTGTGGCTAACGCGAGCTTCTGTTGAACACGAAAGCCAAATACGGTCGTCAGCTCGTGACGTCTGGCTGCGTTGGACAGAAATACACCAGCCGTCTCAGCCAGCCATCGCAGTCGGGAACGGCTCGCGCTTGTCGGTGGCAAAAGCTCCGTTCATTCATTGTTCACCGGCGCACAAATCCTGTGAAGGCGTTGCTTCTGCCGCCTTTTATAGCCGTGAGAACGACCTGGGCAAAGCCGATGAATACCTCACAGCGCGTTTTTGCACGGCAAGCTCTGGTGCCGTATTAGGAGTGTATTTTTGCAATGAGTCTGGCAGAAAACGTGTCTGACAGGGAAGGTTCCAGATATTCCTGTAGGGGCATGCCAAGCGCGCCTGTTGCCGACTGCCTATCCGACCTTGTTCTGGCGGTGTTTGTGGCGCACGCGGCCCACAACGCACTAGCGCAGTCCACCGATAGCGTTCAGTGAAAGAAGAGAACATATTAGAGGACACGTGACTTTTCGTTATCCCCTCCCGTCACAGCAACAGTTTGCGATGAGTGGCTCTGGCGCAGATTCGTCCCTCACCGATCTGTGTGGCGCGGCGCAGCTTTCCACGCCGGCCGTCCCCTGCGCGCGCCCCTATAACGCCGGCCGTCCCCTGCGCGCGCCCCTATAACGGTACCCCTCAGCCGACGAGCCCGCGCCGCCTCCCGCTGTGCGCGCCCCTGTGATGCCATCCCACACGGGGCGCCGGGCCGGGCCGGGCCGGACGCATGCACGCTGCAGACGGCGGCCGGCCGGCCGCGCCGCCGCGGTGTCGCCGGGTGCGCCGCGGCACCCCGCACTGCAGCCCGGTGAGTACCGGCCACACCCGCCTGCTCCTGCTGACCGTCGCCCCCGGCCCGGCGCGTGGCTCAGTCCGGTGGCGCACCGCGCTGTAGGCTGGCCCGGTGTGGAAGACTGCGGTCCACGGCCACATGGTCTTGTGACGTGCCTTGGAAACATGGTCCTGTGACGTGCCGGTGGTGTGGAGGGTTTTTAAATGCCTAAATGTAATGCAGGTTATAGGCCCAGTGCATGTGCAGAGGTCGAGATCTCTTCGCAATGGCCCGGGCAGAGAAGATCCCACCCGGATCTGAACCCGAGAATATGTGTCTGCCGGCTCGCGGACAGTCTGGAAAACCTGTCTTCAGTGGTGCACGGCCGGAAATTCTTCTCATAGGGAATGGGTCAGCTGGGGGGGGGGGGGGGGGGAGGGGTAGGAAGATCTTATCCCCTTGACAGTCGGTGTGAGTCTTCTCATTCAATTTGCCGGCTTATTTCGCAACTGGTTGGACAGTCGGCGGACCTGCCGGTTTCGATATTCTGAGGCCATTTTAAGGACCTCAGAAATATGCGCTCGGAACTGCTGCGTGTGTGGCACAGCACACTGATATTTCAAGGGCGTGTGACCCGTCCTTCCGACATACCGTGCATGCTTCGGCGACGATAATAACGCACGTACGCAGCAGTCGAATGGTTGTCAGATGCCGCCCATTGCCTACCTGGTTACCCATCCAATCCGGACTGTGGGCCCCTATCTCCAGACACGAGCCGCCCTGTCTCACTCGCCCCGGTGCGCGACCACCGGCGCGTCGGCACGCGGCCATGACAGGCCAGAGCCCCGAACAGCTCCAGTCCCTGCGGCCACCAGGACGCTGAGCACAGGGGCGACACCGGCGGGTCGGCCGGCGGCGGTCGGAGCCGTCGGCGGCCGGCGCCGGCTCCGGCCGCAGGAGCGCAGGGGTGCCGATCGGGGTCAGTCGGGCGCCGCGCCGGCCCGGAAGGTCGCGTCCTTGGTGCCGGCCGGCAGGGTCGCTGCCCGGCTCCTCTCCCGCCGCCGCCGCTGATTGGCTGCCGCCCGGCCGAGCGGCGCGGCGCGGACGCTGATTGGCTGACGGTGCGGCACCGGTGCCGGATGGCATGCTGCACGGGGGCGGAGCCGGCGGGTGCGGTCGGGGGACAGCCGCAGCTCGGGTTGACCCGTGCAGGGCTGGTCAGTCAGTGCAGCGCCCTCACGACGCTGACTGTGAGTCGCCGAACTCCTGGCCCGGACCACAGAGGCACGTCGATGCACTCAGTCCCAGGTACGCACCGTTCCCAGACTGCTGCAAGGTCAAACGCTGCACCTCTGAGGCAGGTGTAGTAAGTGGGCTCGCTGGCTGCATTTCCCGTACGGCTATGGCATGTCCGATTTCGGGATATCGATGTGCGTGATAGAACCTGCACAACAGTGTCGCCCATTTTGCGCGGGACGTTGCCCGCTGCTTCCAGGATCCCTGCTTTGGATCGCCGCCTGAAAAGGCATGTGCTCTGGAGACCCGAGCTCCTATAAGAGAGCGTGTGGTGGATTTTTCATCCGTCATCTTTTCGTCTAAGCCGGAAACGACATGGACGAAGTAGATAAAATTCGCAAAATTTTGCACCGGGAACACTTGTTTTCACGTTTATTTTTCATGTTCTCATGTCGCTTGTCAGCATGGCACTGTGCCGCCCTCCTTGACAAAGGCCTTATGCATGTGAACCTGCCTAAAGCTTATTTACTTAACATCCAGGCAGCGTCCTCCTTCCCCGAAATTCCACACACACACGCACACGCACACGCACGCACACGCACACGCACGCACACGCACACGCACACGCACGCACACGCACACGCACGCACACCACACACACACGCGCGCGCGCGCGCACTCACACACACACACACACACACACACACACACACACCACACACACACACACACACACACACACACACACACACACACACACACACACACGCACGCACGCACGCACGCACGCACGCACGCACGCACGCACGCACGCACGCACGCACGCACGCACGCACGCACGCACGCACGCACGCACGCACGCACGCACGCACGCACGCACGCACGCACGCACGCACGCACGCACGCACGCACGCACACACACACACACACACACACACACACACACACACACACACACACACACACACACACACACACACACACACACACACACACACACACACACACACACACACACACACACCCTACGATTCAGTCAATAATTTACGGCTTCCACAGAAATCGCTTCTTACTTGGGCTCGGTTAGATTCTGTCGTATGTGTAGCATTCCTCGTCCGCCGGTGGGCCAGATGCCACACATGTACCAGGCTCCCGGTATATCTTCCCGGGCACCCGCCCCTGGTGCCGGAGCCAGCAGGAATCCAGAACCAGCTCGAAATCAAGCTGGATGTCTGACAAGAATCGTGCTCTAGCCACATGGAGCTGAAAGATTCAGCAAGAGCCAAGACCCAGCCGTAAATATGTGCAAAAGTTCAAAGAGAACCGGCATCCCAACTGGGGTTTATTCGCGCGATCCATCTTGGCAGCTGGGCTGCATTTTCGCCCATAATCTTGACTGTTACTTTTCCTTAAAGTACATACATTGCGATGCTCAAAACATCTACACTGCATTCCATCTATGCATCATGCGCCACCTTTATTAAAGACCAGAGTATTTACATTGCGTATCATGCCCCACTTTGATAAAAATTTAAAAACATTAAACATAACATTAACATATGATATCGTTCATTCCAGGTCATACACCTGTGCATTGATAATAACTCAAATAGCGACAAGAGCTGTTTGTTTATGAATTAGTCATGAACGAGAAGCTAGGGCTGGACATTTGCGTGAAACCGATGAGAACCAGAGACCAGGATCTGGCATTTACGGAAGAACCGGAAGGAGCCAGAACCTGCTGTGTGTACAAGGACACATTGAAACCTAAAACTGGGAACCGGGGTATGACATTTGTGAAAGAACCAATGGTAACCAGGTTCCGGCATCTGATATTTGTGAAGACCCAATGAGAGCCAGGAACAAAGATCTGGTGTTCGCACAACAATCAATGGTGTTAAGAAACCATGCGCGGGTGTTTACGGAAAAACTGAAAGTCAGGTTCCAGGGCATCACCACGAAAAGGCCAACAGGAACCAGGTACCAACTTCGTGCCCCGGACATATGTGTGTCAGGAGCTCCATGATATGGTCATGAAAACGCCAATGGATATCAGGAACCAGCATTTAGAACCTGGTGCATGTCTGGCGCGGCCTTCATGCAAATCAATAAAAAATCGAGTCATCTACCTGTCCTTGGTTTCACCGACCAACTGCATCTCGCCACTCTGGTATACGACCACCAACCCTCCGCTCCACTGTGAGACTGGCGATTAGAAAGCAAAAAGTGGTACGCCATGAACGCAAATATTGTCTCAATGCCAAGCGTCCATTTCCCAAAAGTGCGTGTTATGGGGTGCAGTTTTCTATCCGTTCCTGGGGAACGGGAGGGCCCCCAACCTGGGCTCCATCTCCCCAACTTTGAGAAGAAAGTGGACCAAATCCGTAAAGAAACCCGTTTGTTTGCGCATTGTGGGGGTAGGTTTCATCATTTCGTCATGGGGCCGAAAACACACACACACACACACACACACACACACACACACACACACACACACACACACACACACACACACACACACACACACACACACACACACACACACACACACACACACGAGCGCGCGCGCGCGCACGCACACGCACACGCACACGCGCACGCACGCAGGCACGCTCGGCGAAACTACGCCCCTGGCGTGTGATGTGATTTGCGTGCATGTTAAATTACATGTAAATTTTGCTTTGAATTGAAGGAGATGTGTCACATTTGAAAATATCCCAACAAGCATTATATATGAGGAAGCAAGCTCACGTACAACTATTGGTATCAGGGGTGTCAATATTCGTAAATTGTTGGGGGGGGGGATAAATTATTGGATTACGACGCCCAAACAAGCGCTTCTCCTACCGGAAGACGGCGTTCTGGATCCGCCCATGACGTGACCTTTGTACAAAGCAACGGGTGGCGTAACCCATGCCAGCTGCAGTCATGTCAGATAACACGGTCATTTTTTTCAATGCCGTCGAAATCCTGAACAGGAGCTCAGGACAATCCCGAGAAATACAAAGAAGCGATAAGTCGGTTTGAAACTTAAGAACATAAAGGAAAAAGTGTTCTTGTTGCGGCTTCTTTAGGTTTACAGAGTCCAAGGGCGGATCTAGAGAGGGGGAGGGGGCACGGGGCCATGACTTCTCTTGGGCCCCAAAGGGGTCCACTGGCTCCGAGGGGCCCTAGCCGGCCGAAACAGCTGGAGTTTTTTTCAACACAAAGCGCAACAAAACTGGGTATCTCTGGAATTTCAGGCGACCAAAAACAACCTTAGACAAAACTGAAGGGCCTATGAGAAGCCCCAAAAATATTAAATGATTGGAAAAGTTTTGAAATGGCAATTCTAAGCCCCATTACACTGTCGAGGGGCCCCATGCTGTTTCCGAGGGACCTATATGCTCACTTGCAGGATCATTTCGATCGTTAAAGAGCATTCCAGGCTGCTCTTCATTTCTTTGCACTTGCTCGGAGGGCTCTGTGCTGTTGTTGGGGCCCTTCCTGTTGGCGTGCCGGGGCACTCTTGTCAATCACAGGCCCTTCCACGGATTCTTTCCATTCGCCAGAGAGGCTCTGTGAGCTGTAGTCGGGGCCCCATATCTTAATCTGCCGGGGCATTCTCGGCTGCTTAAGGGCCCTTTACGTGGGTCTCCGTTAACCTATCTACACACTTGCCATATACTCATGGACCACTTGCCATATGCTCACATGCTTGCTATATGCATATTGGTCTAGAACGTTTGCAGTTCTCTGTCACTTGCTTAGGACCCTACACTCTTGTCGGGGGCTCCATCTGATGACCTGCTTGGACACACTCAGTCGTTCGGGGACCCTCTACACTGGGTCTTGGGCACCTCTTTTCTGAATGGGGGGGAAGGGGGCCTACGCTCTTATGGGGAGGCCTATCTGATAACCTGCTCGGGCACATTCGATCGATCGGGGGCCCTCTACATTGGGCCTTGGCCACGTGCTATTTGAATGGGGCCCTACGCACTTGTCGGGGGCCCCCTCTGTTCGCCTCCTCGGCCACATTGCACTGCTCAGGGGGCCCTATACATTGGTTCTTGATGTTTGAATTTAGGAATCTTTGCTCCTATCGAGGTCATCTGATAACCTGCTCGGATACACTCCATCTTTCGGGACCGGGTTTTGGGTACTTCTTATTTGAATGGAGGGTCTTACGCGCCTGTCAGGTCCCCTTCTGAAAAGATGCTCGGGCCAATTCCATCGTTCGAGGGGCCATTTGCACAGGGCCTTCGGTACTTCCCGTTTGAATGGAAGGCCTTACGCTCTTGTTGGAAGCCCTATCTGTTAACACGCTCTGGCACACGCGATCATTCGGGGGCACTCTACTTTGGATCTTTGCTGCTTCCTATTTACATGGAGGGTCCTACGCTCTTGACGGGGACCCTATATTTTAAGCTGCTCGGGCACGGTTGATCGTTGGGAACCCTACATATTTTGTCGTAAGTATTTCTTAATTAAATGGATGGCACTATGTTCTTGGCGAGCCCCATCTATTAAGCTGCTCAGACCGGCTTCGGATGCAAAGGGGGTGGGGGGAGCCATGAGGCAAAGGCTCCGAAGGGGCCCATAACCGGCCGAACGGAGGCAGTTTTCTTATAACAAAATTGCACGCCTTTGGACCTACAGAGGATCAGCAACAAGTGCTTGCAAAAGTAAAGAGCTCATGAGCAGACGAAGTTAATTCTTTCCTGATCGCAAATGGAGTTGCTTGGAGAAAATTTTGGGGCTCATTACGTTGCCCAGAGACCTGACGCTGCTGCCCGGGCCCTATATGTCCACTTGCCGGGGCAATCTGATCGCTAAGGAGCTTTCCACGTCGCCTTTGATCTCTTCGCATTTCCCCGTAGTGCCCAACACTGCCGTTGGTACGCCATCTGCTTCGATACCTAGGCGCTCTTGAGTAATCAGGTTCTCCTTCACGGATTTTTCCTATTCGCCCAAAAGGCCCTATGCGTTTTTACGGCGCTCCATATGCCCGGGTACGTTCAGTTGATCAGGGGCTCCTCATATTAGTCTCCGGTTCTTGGAGAGCACTTACTTGGAGGGCCCTGTGCCGTTGCTGGGCCCTTATCATGTAAGCCCCCGAGACACTCGGTCTTCAGGGTCCCTTTACTCTGATCGAGGGATCTTTCCCTTCCATCTCATTTGCGGAGGACTCTTCATTCCTGCCGAGGCTCTTTCTGTTAATGTGCTCGCACACTCTTGATCGCACAAAGGTATTCATTCATGATGGTCTTGGGTAATTCCCCTCTGCTCAGAGGCTCTTGTGCTCCGGGTGGGGCAACATACGCCAGCTGGTCGGGACACTACCGATCGTTTAGGGGTCCAACACGCTGGTCTTGGATTCTTTTTGCTTGCTCTGAGGATCTTATACTTGTTGACGGGGGCCACTCTGTTGACCTCCTGCGGCACCCATGATCGCTCAGGTTTCGTCCCAATTGCCCTTGGTGCCTTCGCCTTAGAGCAGTAGTCGAATATGCGCCGATGAATTCTTACGCGCAATTGCCGAACGTACTTTTACATACCGCCGACGTCGTATGTGTCATTTTCATTGGCTACTAAGTGTGTGACACTTTTTATGCTCGTGCATCACGTTCTTAACATGCTTTGAATGATCATATATTTTGTACTCCTTTATGATAAAGAACAAGTTATGCATTAATCATCAGCCATTAGCTGATTACATGGCCCAGCCGGCTAGCCGTAAATATAGAAGCTAGAAATCAAGTCCATGCTTGGTTTTGATGGTTGTTAGCAGCCAACTCAAGTTCATTTTGCCTGTTGTTTCGAAGCACTTGGCCGGAAAATCACAGCATTTAACATGATCTGTAGAACATGAGTGAGGTCTATGTGTATGCATGCGTATCACGCCTAGCTTTATAGGGCTGTGCACAGCAAAATGGGTTTCCATATTTAAAAATAAATCTGTAAGTAAACACCCACACGCAACACACCCACACCCACACCCACACACACGCACGCACGCACGCACGCACGCACACACGCACGCACGCACGCACACACACACACACACGCACACACACACACACACACACACACCACACACACACACACACACACACACACACACACACACACACACACACACACACATATATATATATATATATATATATATATATATATATATATATATGTGTTACTACATACTTGTCTTAAAATGTAATGGCGGAAAAGGAAGAATATTCTTTGGAGGAGCCCCAAACTCTAGGGGGCCCCACGGCGTTGCGTGGCCCCCTTGACGAAATCCTGGATCCTCCCCTGACAGAATCACGCCATGCGACCCTCGCGGCATTCTGGCACTAACCTTCTGGTCGGGCTCTGACCAAATCACGGAATACGACACCACAGACCCTGATAAGAGAAAGATATCGGTGTTAGTGATCAGTTATTGAATGCTTCCGTTCCATCTAGCTCACTTTACAGGCTATACTCGTTTCTTGCTGAACATTAACACGCGGTCGGGCAGGGGTCAAATTGACCCCCCGAAGGTTTTCCAGAATGGTTTCTGAACGGCACGGCGAAGCCGCGCCAAATTTTGTAAAGCTGTAGACAATTAAATAGCGGATTGTTTGACATAAAAAATTGATGTGTACCTCTCAAGGTCGCTGACCTATGGCAGGTCAAAGTCAGGCCGTGGTTTCAGCGAAAGCAATTTCTAGGGAATCTTTCAATCTGATCCAACAACGGCGCGTTAGACGAAGCCATGCATCTCTAAGATACTTTCTTAGGCAACACAACAGTTGAATGAGCAATTAACATTGACCTAAGGTCAGGTATGAAGGTCACACCAAGGTCAAAACTAACCTGTTTTGTTTCTCCAGAGCTTGATGTATGGGATAGTTTCTGGTGCTCATTTCGAATTTACTGATAGCAGGAACCGCATTATACGTTTTCCATGGACTCTTTCGAGGTCAGAATAGGTCATTGACCTAAAATGACTCAGATCAACACTTTGTTTTAGGGGCATACTGCCTAGCGTGATCTTTGTCGGTTAGTCGAATGCAAAACTCAAAGCAATCTTATATAATTTTGGTTACGTTGACCTTCAAAAGGTCAAAAAAGGTCACTGACCTTGAACGAGAATGTGACC